ACAGTGGTGGAGCATACCTGCCAAACTAAGCGGTCTGGCCATCGTCTGGCAAGCGGGTTCCATTCTTTGGTGGCAGGAGTTGGGAGGACTATGGGCAGGTCAGGGGATGGAGGCGGAGGTAGACAAGAGGGCTGAGCATAGCTGGAGGGTCTGGGGACTCCCCTGGAGAAGAGGTATTAGGAAAAGCAGGCAGGGTTCAGCTGTCATCAGGGATCTCAGTGTCTGACCTGTGGACGAGGTCACGGCCTATGTGAGGGGCAGCCTTGAGCCAGCTGGTGAGTGGCAGCCAGGTGGACCTCACCTCCTCATCATCACAGCTCCTGCAGAGGTGGAGGGGGTGCAGGCTGTGGTTCTGTGACAACCCTGTGTGCTCTGGGTCGAGACAGATGTCTAGCAAGAAGCAGGAGAGGTGGCAGGGGCCGAGGGTCAGGGATGTCCTCAAAGAGAAATATGGCTTAAATCAAACCTTGAAAGCCCCAAATCCAATGACGTTCTCTTTCTCAGTGATTTCAGTTGTTTCCCTAATTTTCCTCCCTTTATCCTACACCAACCACCAAGAGTCAGTTTACTCAGGAACTGGCTTCAACAAATCAGTATGCAAGTGGCTGGTTGTGAGGCTAGCACGGATACCCAGCACAAAACAGCCAGTGAACCCCATCATGGGCTTCCCACAGCACCCCGTTCCTGCTCCTGTCCACTCCCCGGGGCCCTGTAGCCTGTGCCCATCCCAGCTCCTTTTTTGTTGAGATCTGAGCAGATATGGCATCTGCATAGGATAGCCCTGGATTTGGTGGGTTCGGTGTGGGGGCTGGGCAGCCCTTTTGAAAGGGTACATCTGGCCAGCAGCCCCACGGGGGAACCAGAAGCATCCCAATGAAGTTCAAATAACAAGACCAGGCAGGAGGGCTGCTGTGTCTGTGACCTTCCTCTGGAATCTCAGAGCTGGTGAATGAAAGTCTCTAGGAACTGGGGAACCTTCAGTATCAGCTGAAGTCCTCAGGAATCAGGAGAGGGACTTGAAGAGGCCACATTCCAGCTGCCTTCCAGCCTCTCTGGATTCTTTCCAAATCCAGTAGGAAAAATGGAGCCTCTGAAAGGAGGGGTAAGTGAACAGATTTCCTTGCTGGTCCTGAACTGCTTTTTATAGCACTTCCTGTGCCCAGCAGGAGCTGAGACCCAGCGGCTGAAATAGACAGAACATTCTCTGGTTATCAGGCATCTGGCTGCACTCCAGGCTGCACAGGGCCAAATAGCACCTCACTTGGACTGAAGCCTTGTCTGGGGAAGGCCTCAGAACCTGCTTGAAAGCCTGGCCCTCCTTGCTTGCCCAGCTGGGCAGACAGTGTGTGAGTGTTTCTACATGCTGGTGATCGGGTGCCAGCACTTCAGGGGCTCCCTAACCTCCCACTTTCTCCCAGGCAAACACAGACATATCAGCAAGACTCAGGAGACTTAACTCTCACTTTCATTGCTTTAACCCCAAGGCAGGCAAGTTTCCATAGGAAAAGGTTATACTCACAGGTGTGCACTCCCCACAGTCTTTCAATAAGTAAATGCCCTTGGCTCTTGGTCCAGGTCCTTCCTTTCTAGTCTATTCAGTTTCTGACCTACACATGCCTCTGTGGGGCACAGGCTTTTCATTTAACAAATCCAGCAAGTTGTAGCCCTAGGAGTGAGTACAGGGTTTCAGCTGTAATTTGAAGCAAGCTACAGGTAGCTTCAAGCATGTCACTGTTGTGGGAGCTTCAAGCAAGTAGTAAAAGGAAATGCAAGCAAGTTTCTCTCTGGACCTCAGAAGGGATGGATGGCTTTGGGCAGGTATAGTCTCCACTCCCATCCTATCTACAAGCTCAAATCATTCCCAGCCCATGACAGAAAGATGTGGAGATGCCTCTGGCCACCACTTTGGGTATCACCATCAAGTGGTCCCCTTAGTAAGCCAGGTTGGCTCCCCCCTCATACCCTGATGAGGTAGACCTCATTGTGCCTTCTAGGAGCTGATATGCTAAGGAGGGCACAGGTCCTGCTCTAGGCCTAGCCCCACTCCTCATCAGCTGTGTGACCATGATTAAATCCACTGACCCCACCGAGTATGTTTTCTCTCTGATAAAATGAGGACACTTCCTTCTGGGGCATTTGAAAGAGATACTTGTGAAAATGTCCAGCACAGTGCCTGGTACATAGTAGACACTTAGCAACTAGTAACTATTCGTGTGTGTATGTGTGTGTGTGTGTGTGTGTTTTCTTTTGGAGATAAGAACTCACTCTGTTGTCCAGGCTGGAGTACAGTGACATGATCACGGCTCACTGCAACCTCCTCCTCTCGGGCTCAAGCAATCCTCCCACCTCAGCCTTCTGAGTAGCTGGGACCACTGGCATGTGCCAAAACGCCTGGCACATTTTTTTTTGTACTTTTGGTAGAGATGGCGTTTTCCATGTTGCCCAGGCTGGTCTCAAACTCCTGGCCTCGAGTGATCCAGTCTGCCCACCTCAGCTTCCCAAAGTGCTAGAATTACAGGCATGAACCACTACGCCCGGCCTATTAGTGTTATTCTTTAACCGATTTCAGTGTCCAAGTGGATTGAATCTTCTTTCCTTACCTTGAGAGCCTCCCTGTGTCTCGAGACCTTGGAACTTAGCCTTGAAACTGTTGTTTTTGTCAATCTCCCCGCTTTGCCTCCCCCCTACTTTTCCCACCCCACAGAGATGGAAGGTAAAGTGGAGCTAGCCCAAGGTGTCTGCAGCTAGCCTGGTCCTCCCAGTGTCTTCTGACCTGCACTCCTATCTATCCTCAGCTCACTTGCCCAAAAGCATCTCCTGTTGAGCCTCTTGGCTAATGCTGAGTCCTGGGCGTCTGCTGTCAAGTCCTTTGAAACAGAAGTTTGCTGCCACACAGGACTTTCTCCAGGAGTTAGAGAGCAGGATCTGTCCTCCTGCTCAGTCCTATACCCTCTCCCCTCTCCCCGTGTCCCTAGCTGTCACAGCAACTGAGGGAGGCCTTTTGGAAGCAGTAAAGATCTCAAAGTAATAGGGATCTGTATGTTTAGAAACAGATATTTTTAATGTTCTCAAAAAATGAATATCGTGGGCTGGGCGAAGTGGTTCACGGCTGTAATCCCACTTTGGGAGGCCAAGGCGGTGGATCACTTGAGGATAGCAGTTCGAGACCAGCCTGGCCAATACAGTGAAACCCCATCTCTACAAAAAATACAAAAATTAGGCGGACATGGTGGCAGGCACCTGTAATCCCAGCTACTTGGGAGGCAGAGGTGAGAATCACTTGCATCCGGGAGGCAGAGGCTGCAGTGAGCCGAAATGGCGCCACTGCACTCCAGCCTGGGTGACAGAGTGAGACTCTGTCTCAAAAAAAAAAAATTGTTACCTGAAGATTGTCCAGTAAAGCAAGTGAATGATGACATTTTAAAAATTAGCTTTAATGGCCAGGCACAGTGGCGCATGCCTGTAATCCGAGCATTTTTGGAGGCCAAGGCAGGTGGATCACAATGTCAGGAGATCAAGACCATCCTGGTCAATGTGGTGAAACCCCATCCTAATAAAAATACAAAAATTAGCTGGCTATGGTGGCACATGCTTGTAATTCTAACTACTCAGGAGGCTGAGGCAGGAAAATCACTTGAACCTGGGAGGTGGAAATTGCAGTGAGCCGAGATCATGCCACTGCATTCCAGCCTGGTGACAGAGTTCTTACTCCGTCTAGAAAAAAAAAAAAAGTAGCTTTAGTCCAACCCAAATAATAGAATTAAGAATAGTAATAGCTGAAAGTGGTTTCTAACTCATTCTGAGCTTCAGAATGATCTGAGGAGCCTTTTGAAAAATAAAAGACCTTTGGACACAGATGCGGTGAGTCCATTTGTGGGGTGGGGTAGGCTGGGCCTCTGTCTGTTTAGGGAGTAACGGAGAACCCGCCCCAAGTAAAACTTCACTATGGCGTTTCATCAGGGCACACCAGCCACCTCTCTGTGCGTTTTCATAGACTCCATAGTGCCCTGCTCCGAGGGCCCTGCTGGGTGATTCAAACCCCACATGGCTCTCCTCAGGGGGGTGAGGAGGAGAGGGTGGGGAGTCAGGCTGTAGTTCCTGGAAGAATCAGACCAAGCCTCATCCTTGCTTTCCCTCCATCCCAGCCCTCTGGGCAGCTGACAGGCGTCCCTCCCACACTATCTACCACCCAGCCAGGCCCACCTTGAGCCTGTGTCCAAGGCAATCTGTGAGAAGCTCCTGAGTTAGGAACACTTCCTTACATAGTCTGTATAAAAAGAAAAGGTCTGTCCCTGTGCATGGTGCATTTCATCAGTCGGCAACTCTTTTTTAAGACCTCAAGGGCATGGAAGGATTGTGAAAGATGCAGCTGTGATAAGCACTCACAGAGGAGGAATTGAGGCATGGGGGGTTTGGGGGTGTCTGAAGAGCAAGCTCTGGAGTCAGCTGAGCCCTTTGCCAGCAGGCACAGAGCCCTCTCTATGGCGGGCCAGGCAGGTGCCCTTCACCCAGCACCCCGTGAGAAGAGTGCCACCATGCCCTTGCATCTAACATTGTGCCTGGCACAGAGGCAGTGCCCAGGAAACATTTGTCTACCGAATGACTTTTTAAATGAGCAGAGAAGAGGCATCTGCAGTGGGGCTGGGAAGAGGATAGGACAGAAGAGAAAAGAAAGGGAGAACGAGAACTGTGTGAATTGAGGAAGCCGTTTACCTTTATGCAGAGGCCCATTTCCTCAGGGTCATGAGGATGCAGAGATAATGAATGTTAAAGAATTCCCCTGTCAAATGTGAGCTCACCTGAGCATCCTCTTTTCCAAGAAGTGTGGGAGCTTGCTGGCTCTAAGGTCTCTTTCTACTCAGGCCACCTCGGTGGTTCTACCTGTGTATGCCAAGAAGGCTGGAGTTCACAGCTGCTCTTCATCAAGGACGCTGCCCCTGGGTGAACGGGAGGCCTTGGCTTGCCCCAGTCATGACGTCCCTTCTCCTCCTTCTGCCCAGGCATCTTTTGAGGTGTCAGTGGAGGCCCGAAGCTGCCCCCGCAGACACACGGAGCATGTGTTCGCCCTGCGGCCAGTGGGATTCCGGGACAGCCTGGCGGTGGGGGTCACCTATAACTGCACGTGTGACTGCAGCGTGAGGCCGAAACCCAACAGCGCCAGCTGCAGCGGGACCGGGACCTACGTCTGCGGCCTGTGTGAGTGCAACCCCGGCTACCTGGGCACCAGGTGCGAGTGCCAGGATGGGGAGAACCAGAGCGTGTACCAGAACCTGTGCCGGGAGGCAGAGGGCAAGCCGCTGTGCAGCGGGCGGGGGGAGTGCAGCTGCAACCAGTGTTCCTGCTTCGAGAGCGAGTTCGGGAAGATCTACGGGACTTTCTGTGAGTGCGACAACTTCTCCTGTGCCAGGAACAAGGGAGTCCTCTGCTCAGGTAAGTGCCACCAGCAAGTACTTTAGTTCTGAGCCAGGCCCAGATGCTGTTAGGACATCCTCCCAAAGCCTGCCTCTCAGTGGTGGTAGAAAGTGTCACCACCATGGTTCCCCTTGGAGAAGACAGTGGGCAAGCCTTGCCAACCCTAGGCAGGAACTGGGGACTAGTGTGTGGAATACAAAAGCAGAGGGCACTGCTATAAATTATGGACTCTCAGAGTTAGGGACCAGCCTGTGGGTCATCCAGCTTACTTCCCAGTTCATGCAGGACTGGTCTGCACAGCATTCTTGACAGGTAGAGATGTTCAGCCTCTTCTTGATTGCCTCCTGGGACGGGGAGCTCACTGGGGCTGGTAGTGGCCATCTGCCTCTTAGCTATTGGATTCATATCTTGTTACTGCTCCCACAACTCACAACAAACCTGGTGGCTTAAAACAATACACATTTATTCCATTACAGTTCTGGAGGTCAGAGGTCTGAAATGGATCTCATTTGGCTAGAATCAAGGTGTGCACAGGGCTGCACACCTCCTAGAAGCTCCAGGGGAGAATCTGTCGCAGCCTTTTCCAGTTCCTAGAGGTCACCTGTATTCTTTGGCTTGTAGCTCCTTCTTCCATTTTCAAAACCAGCAGAGTAGTATCTGCTTCTGTTGTCACATCCTTCTCCCTCTCCTATGGACCCCTGTAGTTACCAGGGACCCGCAGCTGAACCCTGGGAAGTCTCCCCATCCCCAGGTCCTCAGCCTACTCACACCTGCACAATCCCTTTCACCATGTAAGGCCACATAGTCACAGGTTCCAGGGATTAGAACGTGGACATCTTTGGGGGCTATTTTTCCTGGCAGAATTCCTTTTTTTTTTTTTTTTTTTTTAAACTAGGATGGAGTCTCGCTCTGTTGTCCAGGCTGGAGTGCAATGGCACTGTCTCAACTCACTGCAGTGTCCACCTCCTGGGTTCAAGCAAGTCTCCTGCCTCAGCCTCTGGAGTAGCTGGGATTATAGGCATCCAACACCACACCTGACTAATTTTTGTAATTTTAGTAGAGACGGGGTTTCACCATGTTGGCCAGGTTGGTCTTGAACTCCTGACCTCAAGTGATTCACCCCCCTTGGCCTCCCAAAGTGCTAGATATTACAGGTGTGAGCCACCACGCCTGGCCCAGAATTCCTCTTTATATTGAAGAGAAATTTGTTTCTCAATAACTTCCACCCAATGGCTCACATTCTAGAGTCCCCCTTCTACATGACAACCTGCCAAACATCTAAAAGCTTCTTTATGTTTCTCTGTTCTCTCTTCTGATTTAGGTTAGACACCCCAATTCTCTTCCTTCTCTGAGGGTGCTATCATTTGTGAAGAACTGAGCACGTTTCTTGTCATGCTGGATGACGAGGGCTTGGCCCAGGGTACAGCGGAGCATTCGTTTCCTGTGATTTGGACATTCTGCTTCCACAGATGCACCCTGACAGTACCTACCTATCTTCCTAGCTTGCTTCCTCCCTCCCCTCCCTCCCTCCCTCCCTTCCTCTCTTTCCCTTTCTTTTTTTTTTTTGGGGGGGGGGGGTAGTCTCGCTCTGTCACCTAGGCTGGAGTGCAGTGGCGTGATCTCAGCTCACTACAACCTCCGCCTCTCTGGTTCAAGTGATTCTCCTGTCTCAGCCTCTTGAGTAGCTGGGATTACAAGCACCCGCTACCACACCCAGCCAATTTTTTTGTACTTTTAAAATATAGATGGGGTTTTGCCATGTTGGCCAGGCTTGCCTCGAAGTCCTCACCTCAGGTGATCCACCTGCCTCAGCTTCTCAATGTGCTGGGATTACAGGTGTGAGCCACCACACCTGGCACACCTTTTCTTTCTGTTAAATAGTCACAGAACACTCTTGAGCTTGTTTTTAACTGGGCTTCCAAAAGTTTGAGGCTTTTTATTTATTTTAATTTTTAGAACTGTGGTTCAGAAGGAGAGGGACTTTTTTAGTGCGTTGTGTTGCAGCACTTAATTTTCTGAATCTAAACACAGGACTTTACATTGATTCCAGTTAAATGACAAGTTGGCAGTTCCCACCCTGGCATTGCATTCTGATTAAATACTTCAAAATTGTATCTCAAATTTTATCCAACATGCCACCTGCAAAGGTAGTAAGTAAAACTGTTTTAGGCAGGGCTGTAGTTTCTTCTACACGTTATTTATTCTGTGGTTTCTAGGGTTCTTTCCTTGAGAATGGTCTTCCAATCAGGATGGGTGGATTTGAAAGGAACTTAGGGTTCAGCTGGGAAAGAAAGCACCCGGTGCCTCTAAAGCAAACCAGGCCTGTGCCAGTAACTCCACCCTAGGGGAGGAGGAACCGTACCTCCACACAGGGTTGCACGGGCGTGGGTTAGCAAGGGAAGCTTTCTGGAGCAGCACTTGCCGTGAGTACACCATGGGTGCCGTGGGACCAGCATGTCTAAAATTGGAATTGCCCTGGAAAGGGCAGGACTTAGGAATGTCATCACAGAGTAAAGCAGGTGGAAAAATCAGGATTCGACATGGCAAGCGTGCAACAGGGTCAACGCCTTCTCCATCAGAGTGACGATCAGTTGGTGTTTTAGCTGGGTAGTTCTTTCTGGTTAATAGAAAAAGTTTGGGTTCAATAGCGGCAAGCCTGGGCCTAAATCCCATCATACCATATCTGCTAGTGTGACTTGGGCACAGAGTTGCTATGAGGGAAAAAGAGATGTGTGTGAAGCACCTAGCACATTGCCTGGCACAAGAGGAAGACACTCCCAGTGCTGGCTCCTCTGTGAGTCAGTGCCACACCCTGCTAGGCGGGCCACAGCTGGTGCCCCGAGTGCAGGAGAGGCCAGCCTTTCCCCAGACAGTCCCCAGGCTTTGCCTAAAAAATTCTAGGGTGGTGGAATGGAGTTTCCATTCCTCTTAGTCCCACAAGTGAAAGCTCTAAGCAGCCTGGCAGTGTCTGTAATAGGCTTTTTTAGCAGTTTTTCTTGTAAAGAGATATTAGCAATCATGATAGTACTGTCCCTCCTTCCCCTTCAGGAGCCTGAAATAACCCCCTGGTATGTCTTCACCCTAGAAGCCTGTGTGTGTCCATGCAGCCTGGGAGTAAGGGCTTCCAAGTCAGGTGCCGTGTGCACGGTTCATCTCCACGGTTCATCAGGCTGCGACCTTGGTTGTCTTGTACTTTGGCTTTTCCTGTCTCCTAAGATGGGCCAACACCACTTGTTTCTGCATCATTTTGAGAACTGAAGGAGAAGACAGATGCTGCATGTTGGACGATGCCTCTCTGTCTCTCTGAGACTGGCATTTCTCTGAGTACAGAGCCTGGGAGGCACAAGATGAGTGGGAGATGAGGTACAAGTGACCCTCAGTGGGGAAAACTGGTCATTTTGGAAACAGGAATATTCCATAACTGAGTGAACATGCAGCTTTTTTGCTCAATCACCAGAACCCACAGTCCTGAGTTAATCTTGCATGACGGAATTCTGCCAGACCGCATATCCAAAAGCCCCCGCTGCTCTGTCTCTTTCTCTTTCTCTTCCCTTCACTCCATAGAATCCTGTGGGATCGGGAAATGCTCACATCATGGGGTAGAGAAAAAAGAGGTTTGCCAAGCCCTGGAGGCTCCCAGACGGATGATGCCTCAGGTTACTAACTTCCCTGAGGTTGCAGAGATGGAATGTCTTTTTTCTTCCCCACTGGAGAAGCCATAGACAATTACTAAAGAAAATTTGAAAAATACAGAGAAGTTGATGGATGTGTGGCCAGTTGGTGCTGTCCGTCTTCTTGGTGACCAGGAGTAATTTGGACCATCTGGGAAACCAGACAATCAGCTCTTTTCACCCAGGCTGTTTCTTTTGCATCACTTTTGAAGCTGTATGCTCAGTCAAGACCTTGCGAGACAGCTGGGTGAGTAGCCTTAGGTCGAGAATATTCTGAGCAGTAGAAAGAAATTTTAAAAGCATCCATAATTTCATCACTCTTATTTTAAGAGATTAGTTTATGGCCGGGCGCGGTGGCTCACGCCTGTAATCCCGGCACTTTGGGAGGCCGAGGCGGGCGGATCACGAGGTCAAGAGATCGAGACCATCCTGGTCAACATGGTGAAACCCCGTCTCTACTAAAACTACAAAAAATTAGCTGGGCATGGTGGTGCTTGCCTGTAATCCCAGCTACTCAGGAGGCTGAGGCAGGAGAATTGCCTGAACCCAGGAGGCGGGAGGCTGCGGTGAGCCGAGATCGCACCATTGCACTCCAGCCTGGGTAACAAGAGCGAAACTCCGTCTCAAAAAAAAAAAAAGAGATCAGTTTATTTCCTTCTAAACTTTCTTCTGAGTTAGTGTATGTGTGTTTATGGCTGCATACAATTTTGTATCATGTTTTTTTTTTCCTATAATATTATATCCCAAGGAGAACTTGAAGTTGAATTACTTTTAGTCAATCCTTGATGAGAACGTCCTGAGTGTCTTTCCATTTCACCCCCAACAAGCCTCCTCCACCTCTTCACCTTAAAAGCAACAACTAGTTGAAACGTGACACTATCCAAGTCTTTCTGGAGAAAATAGTTTCTGGAGTGAGGTCATTGTTGTTTGACAGTTTGGGAAGGACTTAAACTGAGCCCAGCTCCAGGAAGGACTTGATAACATACGTTCATGCCGTGACTTCTTGCACAGTGTTATAGCACCAGCCCTTCCTTGTCTCACAAACCTTACAGCTCAGGAGGGGCTGTGAATGGATAGGTCAGGAATTCCAGTCCCTGGGTCCTTGGCACCTGTGGTCAGCATGGGGCTCCCACTCCAGAACTGCATGTGTTGGTTTTGAGCTCTTGGGTCATGGCTACATCTGGAGTTCTTGTGGCAGGGAAGCCTGTTTCCCAGCCACCACTCTGCTCTTGAAGGTGCTGACTCAGAGACTCCCAAGCAGCTGACTTCAGCATTCTCTCACAGTTTTACACCCCCTTTTCCCTGCAGCCTGTCTTGGAAGGAAATCGTGTGGTTGTGGTCTGTCTT